AGGAAGGAAGGAAGGAAGGAAGGAAGGAAGGAAGGAAGGAAGGAAGGAAGGAAGGAAGGAAAGAAAAATATTTGAGCTGTAGGTCAGTGATTTTTAGCTTCATTATTAAAGAACTTTTTTTAGCCTTTGTAACTGAGGACAATGTAATAGCTGAAGGTTTGCCCAGTCATTTTCTCCCTAGTGATTGCTCATAATAATAGAAGCTGTATGGGAAAGACCTCAGTGATGAAACTGCATGAAGAAAGGTTCACCTTACCCAGCGTAGCCAAAACATGGCGGAGTTCAGCCCCCATCACTGTTCCATTTCCCTCCTTGTCGAACACACGCAGCCCCTCCACAAAGTCCTCATAGGTGCCTGTGTCTTTTGTCTTGGCAATATGTTGGAGCATGGGAAGGAAGGTCTCAAAGTCAATCATCTTGGAATTCATTTCTACAAAAACATGGATAGAAATGAAAGTTTTGCTGGATTCTGGGAGAGCTGAGGGCTAACTCTGGGGCAAACACCATGGATGTGTGATGACAGTAGAAGAACATAAGTATAGATGGAAGAATGGTCAGTGGGAAAGAGGTCTGGTAAAGAGAGAAATATGAGGTTTTGATAGATAGATACATACATACATAGATATGTCCTAGTATCTGATCTAATCACAGAATCATCTAGGTTGGAAAGGACCTTGAAGATCATCCAGTCCAACTGTTCACCTAGCACTGACAGTTCCCATCTACAGCATATCCTTAAGTGCTAAATCGACCCTACTCTTAAACCCCTCCAGGGATGGGAACTCCACCACCTCCCTGGGCAGCCCATTCCAATGCCCAACAAACCCTTCTGCAAAGAAATAACTTCCTGACATCTAGTCTAAACTTTCCCTAGTGCATCTTGAGGCCATTCCCTCTTGTCCTGTCGCTTACTACTAGGTTAAAGTGGCTCATCCCCAGCTCTCTACACCCTCCTTTCATGTAGTTGTAGAGAGTGATAAGGTCTCCCCTCAGCCTCCTCTTCTCCAGACTAAACAATCCCATTTCCCTCAGCTGCTCCTCGTAAGAAAAATATACATAAACATCAAGGAAAAGACACCAAAGGCTGTTTCATGCAACATAAAATTATGCAACCAAGCAGAAGACAGTAACAGATAATAAGAAATCAGCTTTGCTTTACAGCCCCATAATGCAGGAAAGTTTAAAACTCTACTGGGAGAGTAGCTTTCAAGCGAATAGGCAGGACCAGGGCTGTCTGTCCCATTTTCCTGAATCTTTAACTTTCAAGAGCATTAGAAGGCATTTTGTTCCCATATGACTCCTTGTCCTACCTGCCACCGTGTCGTTGTCATATCCTGACATATCATAGCTGTTGAATGATGGCCTAATGATAAGTTCCACCCACCCCAGTGGAAGGAAAGACTGTATTCAAAATGTCCGCGTTTTTGCAAACAGATGTGAATGCCTGTCATCAAAGCAATTTTAAAAGGCAAAAAATTGTCATTGTAAAACACATTCATGCACAGGCCCATTAAATTAATTCATTTCTCTGAGACAATTATATTGACTGTGGGGTCACTTTTTTCCTCATTTACTTTTCTCCTAGTTATTTGCAGAGGCTGTTCCATATCCTTTGTTCTTTCACAATTAATCTTTCCATCAGAAAATAGAGACCTTCACAAAAAAAAAAAAAAATTATTGGAGGGATCTTTTTCAAAATGAACACAGAGAACACCAACCTTCTGTTTTTGGTCTGCCAAGCACTTTCATGACCTCAGCCTGGGTTGGATTCTGCCCCAAAGCTCTCAGGACATCTCCGCATTGTGCATATGTGATTTTCATCTCAGATTTAGGAGTCCGGTCAAAGAGTGAGAACGCTTCCTTAAATTCTGGAAAACAAAAAGATAAGAAGAAATGCATGTCATGCTCCCTCAGATAAAGTCAAAGCAGCCCTAGACCTTCCCTCTTAACTATGCTGACCCTTTTATTTTGCAGTTTGGGAACGAGTTTGATGAGCTTTGTTGTTGCTGTTATCTGCAATGTTTGTGTTCCTCCTCCCCTGCATTTGCTATTTCAATAAGGGAATGGACTCAGAAAGGTCAGATGCTCTTCTCATGGTATTTCCGTCTCAACTAATGTCAGGAAGTGCAGGAAATCTTACAGAAATTGTTGGCCTTGAGAGCTTTCTGGCTCATCAGGAGCACTCAGGATGGCACAGAATTCAATAACAGCTCTGCCCATTAGCTAACTGGATATTTTATTCAGTATTATACACTTAGAAGGCACTGACACAGCCCACTGAGATAAAGGGCCACCTCTGGTAGCAGGTAACAAGATGTGCCATGATAACCTACTGGAATTAACGCACAAAAACCAATCAGTGGAGGAGGTCGAAGGTGTATGGAGAACCGTATAATTGATCAATTGTTGTATCTAACAGTGTCAAGGAGCAGATCTAGAGAAATCCTGATTTATATTTTTTCCTAGCACCCAGCCCAATTGCATCTGGAGAAGTAATGTTTAGTATGGCATCAGCTTCCGACAGCAGGCCATATCTCATGTGGGGACGCAATCATTCCCTCCAGTGGTTTCACATCTGCCTGCTTTCCCCTGTGCATCCATGAAGAGCCCTTTCCCTTGCGAGACAGGCAGCTCCCTCCACTACATGCTTGTGAACATATCCTCATGTTTTCTCTTCACTTCTGGCCAAAGAGGGAGTCCCTTACCACTGCAAGCAGCAACATCTTGACAAGAGCATTCGCATGGGAGAGGTCTCTGTTCTATCACTAATTATGTGCAGACGTGGGCTTAGGGACATAATTTATTGGTGGATTTGTCTGTGTTAACAGTTGGACTTGATGATCTTAGAGGTCTTTTCCAACCTAAATGATTCTATGATTCTAATTAATGGGGTCCATGAAGGTCCCTGCAAGAACACTAATTACTCGGGCTCATGTCTCCTTACTGGAGTTGCAGAGACAGAGCAGCATCCCAGGGTGCAAGCAACAGTAACAGGCTGTTATACTCTACTAACACGCTGCATAGCGCATGATCTATGAGTGATCACAAATATCCCTTTGGCTTTAAAGCTGTGAATCCCTCAATCTGCCCCTTGTCCTGCTATTACTCTTCTATATATGTTTCCCTCCCGCTCTCCTGAGTCATTCAACCATTCAGCCATATGCTCTGAATGCAAGATTTTCACTCTTTCCTTTCTCAATTCATTCTCCTCGTTATTCCACCTCCCTCCTTTTTATTTTTGCTCCTTTGTTTATTTCCCTCTCTCCTTCCTTGTTCTAGTGTTGCTGGATTTGCCTTTTCTCTCTCCCTCTCTTTTCATTTTTATCATTGCCCTCATAGATTTTATCATTGCTCTCATTTCTTTCTTCATCCAACACCTTCAAACTGATGCATTTTCTCATTTTAGAAATTAATGTTTCTCTTGTTCTCTTCTTTGAATTCTCCTCTTTGCTGTCTCTTTCTCTCCCTGCCTCTCTCTCCTGGATCTTTGCCTCCTCCTCCTCTATCACCGGCTGGAGCCCAGGTCCCATTGGCAGCCCTTACTCCAGCAGAGGGCAATGGTGGATTTTCATGGGCTCCTTGCTGACAGTGGAAGGGGGCCACAGCCCCACTCCCAGATCTGTCTTCTCCTGCGGGTCTCAGCAGCTGAGGTGGATGAGAAATACACCGACCTTCCTGAGCTACTCCTCTGACTCCTGCTTACCTACTCCCTGAGACCACCTGCCAGAGCACCACCTCCAAAAAGTTCACAATTCATCATAGTAATGACAGCTCACTTTTTTTTTTTTTTTTAAATTTAAAATCAGATGTAACCACCTCTCACCAGAGCATTGTCCTGTGGGTTTGGAAACACCATTTTGTCAATATAAAGAAGCAGCCTTTATTATTATTATTATTATTATTATTATTATTATTATTATTATTAAATTATTATTTATTACTTATTATTCATTTGCATTAGCATTTGCTGGCTTAATGCAAGTTTCCATCAAAGCAATGAAACCAGCATGACTATGGTCTCCTTTGTCATCCTGATAGGCATTAAACCACCAGCAGGAGCAGCATATATTTTCATATGCCTAGTTACTACCCGTCTTCTCATATTTAATAGCTCATATTCTTCTCTTTTCAGCAATTTAGGGGGCTGAAGAGGCAAGGGATCCAGTTTTGTAAATACACATTGTCACAAGCAATGAATTTCACTCGCAGCTGAGGCAGGAGGACCTGTAAAGATGGGTGTGTTACCCACGGTTTCACCCAGAGATGATTCTTCCCCTTCTGAGAGTAACATTTTGGCAACTAACATAATAACAAATCCTTGAAGGGAAGCAAGCCTGGCGCAGCAACATCTTTTCTTTAACAAGAGGAAGAGGTTGAGAGTATCCTAGAAGATAGGATTGGACACCCCCCCCAATCTCAATGTTGGACCTTGAGATGCTGCGTTGCCTGTTTCTCCTCCACCATGACAGTTCAGAATCAGCTGTCAGAAAACCACTTCGGTCAGTGGTGGTAGACTGATGGCCAGTATTATCTAACACATAGGATGGATTTCCTATTAATCTAGTTTCAGCTAACAAATGGGGAAGCATCTACTCTCACTGAGACACCTAGGTTCTCATCTGGTCAAGAGAGAGAGAGGGGATTATTATACATTGGAGGTCTATTTTAAAAAAAAACACATATAAAGGTGTGACAGGTGACCTTGACCTCCTAATGACTTCCTGAAAGATGAAATTTGACAAAATTAACAGTGCAGCACAGAGCTAAAAATTAACCCAGAACAAAACAAGTACAACTGAAACCCAGAAGAAAGGGAGAGCTGGCAACCTTGGAAGCTTCAGAGACTGAGGAGAGAATGGGAAGGAGAAAAGAGAACAAAAATATGTATTCTAGAGGTCTGGTGAGTTCCAACTCTCAAGTCATGACAACAGCCAGTATAACAGCTATAAATCATAGCAAGTGATGCTTGCTTTCTAACCTGTGATTTTAACACAAAATAATACAGTCTCAAGCACGAGAATACTGATTGTCCACTTTCTTAAACTGGTAGCACACTTACTAGCAAGGTTTTGACTTGTGCAAACTAGTATAGGGGACAGCGCATGTCAGAGACAATCCAGGGACAACTGTGGACCATGCTGTAGATATAATTCTACATTTGGAGTATCTAATCTCTACCTAGAAGTAAATGTCTGGCTAGCACTATCAATCTGCATATCTGCCTATGAATTTACAGACTTTCTAAATATCAGGTGAAGGAAAAGAGACTAAAAAAAAAAGAACCAGAAGAGGCCAGGAGGAAAGGAATTGAGGAGCTGACTGATGAGCTGTGATCAGTCCCCAGGTAATGTTCAGGATATTAGTTACTACTTCCAACAACTCACAGCAGAACATGTGAACCAACTGTGGGATGTGGGATTAACCTTGAGTGATGTAGTGTTTCTCACCAGTGCTAAAACACGCTATAACTCTGCTATGTTATTGTAGCTGATGTGGAGGTCTCATAGCCTTTCTCACACAGATGTTATCTGCTTCCTGCCCCATGGCTTTATCTTTGATATTTCAAGGACATTTTTTTCACAATTCTTGGTTTCCCAGCTTTGAGCTGTGTATGCACTAAGTACAGCTAGACTAGAAGGGAGCAGAGGCTGTTGAAAAGAAAGAAGATGCAACTTCCTGTTTCTAGAGATGGTTTACATCTGCTCTAGACCTGCTACCTTTTATAGCAGCCCTGGAGTTGCTCCAAATTTGCCATTTCCTAACCAGTCCTATGGGCTAATGAGTAGACAAGAATCCCTTTTTTTTTTTCTTTTCTTTTCTTTTCTTTTCTTTTCTTTTCTTTTCTTTTCTTTTCTTTTCTTTTCTTTTCTTTTCTTTTCTTTTCTTTTCTTTTCTTTTCTTTTCTTTTCTTTTCTTTTCTTTTCTTTTCTTTTCTTTTCTTTTCTTTTCTTTTCTTTTCTTTTCTTTTCTTTTCTTTTCTTTTCTTTTCTTTTCTTTTCTTTTCTTTTCTTTTCTTTTCTTTTCTTTTCTTTTCTTTTCTTTTCTTTTCTTTTCTTTTCTTTTCTTTTCTTTTCTTTTCTTTTCTTTTCTTTTCTTTTCTTTTCTTTTCTTTTCTTTTCTTTTCTTTTCTTTTCTTTTCTTTTCTTTTCTTTTCTTTTCTTTTCTTTTCTTTTCTTTTCTTTTCTTTTCTTTTCTTTTCTTTTCTTTTCTTTTCTTTTCTTTTCTTTTCTTTTCTTTTCTTTTCTTTTCTTTTCTTTTCTTTTCTTTTCTTTTCTTTTCTTTTCTTTTCTTTTCTTTTCTTTTCTTTTCTTTTCTTTTCTTTTCTTTTCTTTTCTTTTCTTTTCTTTTCTTTTCTTTTCTTTTCTTTTCTTTTCTTTTCTTTTCTTTTCTTTTCTTTTCTTTTCTTTTCTTTTCTTTTCTTTTCTTTTCTTTTCTTTTCTTTTCTTTTCTTTTCTTTTCTTTTCTTTTCTTTTCTTTTCTTTTCTTTTCTTTTCTTTTCTTTTCTTTTCTTTTCTTTTCTTTTCTTTTCTTTTCTTTTCTTTTCTTTTCTTTTCTTTTCTTTTCTTTTCTTTTCTTTTCTTTTCTTTTCTTTTCTTTTCTTTTCTTTTCTTTTCTTTTCTTTTCTTTTCTTTTCTTTTCTTTTCTTTTCTTTTCTTTTCTTTTCTTTTCTTTTCTTTTCTTTTCTTTTCTTTTCTTTTCTTTTCTTTTCTTTTCTTTTCTTTTCTTTTCTTTTCTTTTCTTTTCTTTTCTTTTCTTTTCTTTTCTTTTCTTTTCTTTTCTTTTCTTTTCTTTTCTTTTCTTTTCTTTTCTTTTCTTTTCTTTTCTTTTCTTTTCTTTTCTTTTCTTTTCTTTTCTTTTCTTTTCTTTTCTTTTCTTTTCTTTTCTTTTC